TTCTTTTCAAGCTCTGATGTGGGAGGGTCTTCTGTTTTGAGTTGATTTCATTGGTTAATAAAGAAACTGCCTTGACCTTTGATAGGACAGAAAATTAGGTAGGCGGAATAAACAGAACAGAATGCTGGGAAGAAGGGAAGTTAGGCAGACGCCATGCCTCTCCTCTCCAGGGCAGATGCAATGAAGCTCCAGCCCAAGATGGACACAGGCTAGAATCTTCCCGTAAGCTACCACCATGTGGTACTACACAGATTACTAAATATGGGTTAAGCAAGATATGAGAGTTAGCCAAGAAGAGGCTAGATATAATGGGCCAGGCAGTGTTTAAAAGAATACAATCTCTGTGTAATTATTTCGGGGCATAAGCTAGCCAGGGGGCCGGGAGCCAGGCTGCAGGAACGCAGCCTGCAGCTCCTTCTACAAAGCTCTCTCAGGGTTTTTATGTGGATGTAGTCAGCCCAAGTAGGCACATCAGTAAATGGACACTGTTAATTTCCAGCTGCCCAGATCACAATGTAATCACTCAAAAACTATATTATTTGCAATACTGTTTGGCCAATAGCTTAAGCATATTGCTAGCTAGCTCTTATATCCTAAACTAACCCATCTCCATTAATCTGTGCCTCACTGTGAGGTCATGGCATACTGGCAAATTTTTGGCAGATTCCAGAGGAGATGTCTGTCCCCAGAGGTGGCTACATGGCTTTTCCTTGACTCTGCCTTCTCTCTCTCTGTGTGTGTGTGTGTGTGTGTGTGTGTGTGTGTGTGTGTGTGTATCTTCCAGCCTGGCTTATTCTGTTAATCCATTGACCAAAAACAGCTTCTTTATTAACCAATAAAACAACACATATAGAGAAGGATCTCCCACACCACACAGGGCAATCACACTGTATATAGTGTTTTACAAGTACTGCAGATGTGGTTCAAAGAAAAGTGTGGGTTATATGCAAAGTCTGATGTTTTATTCAAGAGCATTGAGCATCAGTGAGGCTGACAGTGACGAGACACATGTCACCTCACTTTGACTGAGGTGGCAGATAGATGACACAGTGTCATTTCCCTACCCCCTCCCCTGGTCACAGGGTCATTGTGGCCTGTGTGAGTGTTGATACCACTAGGGAAATACCGTGAACAGCGTGTTACTCTATAATTATCTGCTTAAAAAATATTTCTCAAGAGGCTAGTCAGGGAAGGTATGAGTTCAAAGCCGGCCTGGGCTATGCAGCTAGTTGGAGGCAACTTGTTCCAATCTCCAAAAACTTAGAAAATTAGATAGAGGACTGGGGATACTGCTCGGTTCAGAGCACTTAAGCACATTCAGTCTGTCTTCAGTACTGAAAATAAATTGCTTGCACACACACGCACACTTTCTAGAGTTATATTCTTCTCTTGGTTTTTATTATATTTTGAACATAAATTTTAAATTGCTCACTGATAACTTGGACTTCACAATAATTGGAAACCACTTTTCTCAAGTTGCTAAGCTACTTGCTTCAAGTTTCCACTAAACACAGCCTTCAAAACACAGATTTATCCACATTAAATAAAACCCTGTTAGCTCACACTAGAACTGGCTTTTCTGTGAAAAGTCGACACTTGGAACATAAACCTAAACTCCTGCCCTTTTTATTTCTAGGGACCAAGAAAAAGAAATCAAAGTCAGAAAAAAGTAGAAAAAAGCTCAATCTGTGAAAGTAAGTAACTCTTGTAAACTTGCTTTTTCTGTAGAAAAACAGTACCACAAGTAACTATAATACATTTTTGAGGGTTTCGTTTTATGGCCAAAGCTGACCTCAAAATTGTGTTAATCCTCCTGCCTCAGTCTCCTGATGTAATAAGGTCTTTATAATACCTCAGAAAATGGATTGTTCTTTTTTTTACTATCTTTGTGTTTTAAAAACCAGGACCTGGTGGCATAGCTGTGACTGGCCTGGACTTTGCTGTGTAGAATATGCTGGCCTCCAACTCATAAAGATCCACCTGCCTCTGCTCCCTGAGTGGTGAGATTAAAGTTGTGTACCCCAAGCCTGGCAACATATCTGTCATCTCTAATTTTCTGTTGCTTTCAAACCCATCAGGTTTTGTTTTCTTGTTAAATGATGAACTTTTAAGAATGAGATATAATTTTCCCCAGATCTTCTTTTTATCCTTTTTGATAGGTAAGTAATATGCCACTGAAATCTAGAGTCTACATGTGAACTCTACATGTGAATCAACGTGATTCATTCTGTGTGAGCCATGTGTATTAGTGGTATACCAGAAACTTCTCTGGCTTAAGAGCCTGCAGGGCTCCATGCTGGGACATTGTTAATGATACGGAAGAGTGGGCGTGCCATCATCTGTGACCCAGTTCCTAATGTCTCGGCATCACTTAAGAGGTCACTTTTGGTGTTGCTTCATCTTTGTTTGATCAGATCAACACCCAAGTTTTTGAGTCCAGGGAAGACATCAAGGAGGTGTCAAGGAGGAGTGGCCCCCATAGGTTCTGATGTTTGGATCTTGGTCTATAGTTAGTGGAGTTTTAGGGAAGGATTAGGAGCTGTGACCCTGTGGTGTGTCACTAGCTTTGAGGTTCCTAACACCCACACCAGACCTGGGTAGCTCTTGTGCCTCACGGTCCTGTCTCAGGATGTGGGTTCTCAACTACTGCTCCCATGCCATGCCTGCCTGCTGCCATGCTCCCTACCACGGTGGTCATGGATGCTAATCCTCTGGAACTGTGAGCCCAAAATAAACACCTCTTTTATAAGTTGTCTTGGTCATAGTTTCTTATCATAGCTGCAGAAACAGACCTAAGAGTTCTGTGCTAGACAGGAGCTCAGTGAGGTGGGTGGGTGATCTGCCTGGTTTTAAAAGGGGGTGCTGTGAATCATCTTAGGGCACCTGGATGGCCTGGCTTGACAAAGGTGTTTAGGGTTGATCGTCTTCCTCAGGTGCTGTTGCTCAACTGTGATGGCTGCAGACTTGTTCCTGAGTTGGTAGCTTTAGTTTGGTTTGGTTTGGTTTGATTTGGTTTGGTTTGGTTACAGTCTGCTCTGCTCTGAAAAGTTCAAGGCCTCTTACCTTCCTCTGTCTTCTCGGAATCTCTGCCTGCCTGCTGGTGTCTCTGAGACACGGCTTCTCTGGTTCTTGTTGCCATCTCTGAGCAGTCCTGGGTGAGCTGGGCCGTGTGCTTGTGCCTGAGGTCAGGGAGGCAAGTGTACAGTTAAAGAAACCTTAGCTCTCAGAGCGTCAGTAACTAAGTCATTAAGGTATTAAGTGACACATTAGGGCTGAGTCTCAGCCTATGGCCAGTGTCCCCACCTGGGCTCTAAGGTTATCTCTGTCTCACTGCCCTACCCTACGGCCTGTCCAGGATAAAAACACCACTGGAAGAGACATGTTAAAGTTTTATTTCATCTTTAATTATAAACAGGGATAGGATAGACGGGTAGCTAATGTGTGTGTACAAGCAGGTATGTCCCCGGAAGCCAGAAGAGAGGTCGGGTCCTCTGGACCTCGAGTTCTAGACATGAGCAGACTGACCTGGGGGCTGGGAAGCAAACTTAGAACTGAACTCAGGTCCTCTTCAAAAGCAGTATGCACTTAACCCCATGAGCCATATCTCCAACCCTAGAGAAACATCCTCATCCCCAAAGGAGTTGGCCACTCTGAGAGTCTTAGTGTTGCAGAAACCACAAAGATCCAGGCCTCACTTCCCATGTGACTAATTCAATAGGTTGCTGACTATTGAGACAAATGCAAGCAAATCCAACCTCTGCCCCAGGGTCTTGGCAAATAGCATGTCTGCATGACAGTGTGCAGTCTTGCTCATGAACCTGTCTTTACTCAGCCCTTGGCTCAACCGTGTGAGACTGTGACTGATCTGGTGGGGATCCAGATACTCTGAAGAGACAATTGTCTCTCCAACTGACTATCAGACTGTTGAAACAATGGACCTCTGAGAATTGAGGGTTTCCCAGGAATCTCTCACAGAAGAAGGGAAAGGCATCAGCCAGGGGGATCTTATCTCTGGGAGAGAGATTTCTCACAGCTCTGACAACTCGTGAGACCCATTTACAGTGAGACTGAAGCCCAGACAAGGCTGGGTCTGTGGTGGGCAGGACCACATCTTGAGGAGGACTGCTTAGATCTCCATATCCCTGGCCCTCTGTTTAAACTTTGATCCCACTTCACAACCCTGAGGACTCTGGGAAATGTCACCATATCTCTTTGTCCCTCTTCCCAGTGTGGCCACATTGAATTAATCTCCTTCCTCTACTCCCCGCTACTAATTTGGCTCTCTTTTTATTGGCTAATGAGTATGGGTTGCCAGACCTGACTTGGGGCACAGGTCATGAACCCCCAAGTTGATAAGAGGCCTGAAGGCTATATAGGTGAGCATGTCACAGAATGCTGCAGAAACAGAACTTCCCACACACGAGAGTGCACAGGGACGGCGGGGGGCTTTCCCCATTGGACTAGCCGCCTGCCATGAACTTGAAGACCTGGGACAGCACACCGAACAGAGCCCAGCAGACAGTGTCTAGTCACACATCACCCACCCTGCCTCAGGCATTGTCACTGCTCTAGATCTATAGATCGGACAAATACCACTAAGGCAGTGTTAACTCACAACCGGCAACAGCCCCAGGCTCCACAGGCACTCTAGTGCCTGGATTAGGTACTCCTAATGACATACTAGTGAAAAGTCCTGGGAACCAAGCTGTGGGCATCAATCCTTGTTCATCCAACAGCCCACACAGGAGGTAGGGTGTCCTTACAGCCTGCAGACACCCTCCTTCAGACCCTGACAACTGCAGCAGCTTTTCCTGGGCTCAGTTTTTCTAAGAGGGATGTCAGGATACAACAGCTCAGAAAGAAAACGTCCACTGTTCCTTACTATGGCAGCTTGTTAATGGCCTTGGAAATGTGGTTGCCCTTCCTGGCAGCAGTGTTCCTGTCTGTTTTCTGTGATGCAACCTCCTTATCTCTGCAATAATCTTATCATTTCCTTTCAGCCCCCGGTGATGCATCAGTTTCCAAAGTTCTGTCGCCATCTCACCACCATCTGCTGGCCACAGTGGTTACCGCTGGCTGCCTGTGCCGTGCCGATCCTGTCTGCCCCGCTTCCTCCTATTGCATCACGGTGCACTGTGTGGGAAGCATGGAGGGGCCAGCAGGCTGCGCTCTCGTCATGCTGGTTAAAGACATTACATGGTTTAAAGGCAGCAGATTGCCAGGGAGTATCTACAAGTTTTTACCCACAGGCGAGACCAGAGCTCAGGCAGTCCCAGGCTGAGGCCTCCTGCCTAGACTTTATAGAGGCCTCAGCCTGTTCAGGAGGAAAACAAAGCTGTGTCCTGTTTGTTCCATTTTAAATGTGTTACCTGGTTGCTGTAGGTCTGGGGTACACTTAGACATTCCAAGGAAAAGCTAGCTTGGTGCCAATATAAAGGGAATGAGAGGTGGAAACGTCTGGTAAACCTGTAACCTACCCTAGACTTCTGGTCTTTCTGTTCAAAGCTCAGGATAAGCCATTCTTGTAACACAGCTAGAGTCTTAGCAGTAGGGAAGTTCTGCCGAGCAATAAAGCTGTCGCCTAAGCGTGCATGTTACAGAGTTGAATTAGTGAGGGGAAACATGGATAACAGAACCTTGGCGAAGGCAGAAACAGCACAAAATGATTTCTCCTCCGTGATTTCTCTACACGAGTGTGACAGAAACAATTCCTCCATGATCTCCCTACACATGAGTGTGACAGAAACAATTCCTCCATGATTTCCCTACATGTGAGTGTGACAGAAACAATTCCTCCATGATTTCCCTACATGTGAGTGTGACAGAAACAATTCCTCCATGATCTCCCTACACGAGTGTGACAGAAATGATTCCTCCATGATTTCTCTACACATGAGTGTGACAGAAACAATTCCTCCATGATTTCTCTACACGAGTGTGACAGAAACAATTCCTCCATGATCTCCCTACACATGAGTGTGACAGAAATGATTCCTCCATGATTTCTCTACACGAGTGTGACAGAAACGATTCCTCCATGATTTCCCTACATGTGAGTGTGACAGAAACAATTCCTCCATGATTTCTCTACACGAGTGTGACAGAAACAATTCCTCCATGATTTCCCTACACATGAGTGTGACAGAAACAATTCCTCCATGATTTCCCTACACATGAGTGTGACATGATTTCTCCTCCATGATCACCCTACACTTTGCCTCTGGTCTCTCTGACCAAATGTCTAACAGATAGAACTTGAAGGAAGAGGAATGTGGTGCAGCCATGGTCCCCATGCTCTTGAACAAACCCTAGTGCATGTCACAGAGACATCACCCCACTTAGAAGACAGGGAGTAGCAGGAAGAAATGGGAAATGGCCAGGATGACACAACCCCAAGAACCCAACTCCCACATTGCCCTGCCTCCCAACGGGACTTTATGAATCCATCAAGAAATTGATTCATCCATCAGGCCAGGCCAACTGTCTTTGGAAGCATCTTCACAGATACATGCAGTTCTTGTGCTTCCCTAACCCCTGTTTTAGTACAGTTGAGTAGACAATCACAACTTGCAGATGGATGTCTTTTCCACCAGCAGCCTCAAATAACCCCATGGAGACTTCTTATTAATTTTGAAAGCTTGGCCTTCAGTATATGCTTCTCTCAACTAACTCTTATAGTGTAAATTCTCACGTTTATTATATTAACCTACATTCCATCACGTGGCATCACCTCTCTTTCGTCTTCCCCCTCCTGTTTCCTCTCCTTCTGGCTGATGATCTGCCCCTTTTTCCCAGAGTCCTCTCTGTCCCCAGAAGTCTCACCTAGCCTCTTCCTAGCTATTGGCCATTCGGCTTTTGTTACGCCAGGCACAGTGGTGCATTTTCACAGTGTGGGATGTCCCACAACTGAACAGCACAGTGAGTGAGCCAAGATCTGCTAATTCCCGTCTGTACTAGCAGTGACACTAGGAAGTCCCTGACTGGATCAACTACATTTCTGTGACAACTGAAGCACATTTCCAGCCTTCATTTTTAGGTACCTTTGCCATTCAAGACAGTATCCATCAACAGATAAATGGATTTGTAAAATATGTGCTTCTATACAATTTCATCTTACTGAGCTGTAAAAAGATGAGATTCAGACACATGAGCATGAACTGGCGTGAGCTAGACACAAAAGGGCAAGTAGTTTGGGGGCAGTGCTTTATCTGATGGAGAAATGACAAGAGCTAGAGAGCACAGCTGTAGGAGGAGAGAGCTTGTTCTTCCGGGCCGCCCAGAACCAAAATAATCACCCAGAAACTGTATTAATTAAATCACTGCTTGGCCTATTAGCTCCAACTTCTTATTGGCTAGCTTTTACATCTGAATTTACATCTCCATTAATCTGTGCATACCACGAGGCCATGGCCTACCAGCACAGTTTTAGCACATCTGTCTCTGTGGCAGCTCCATGGCTTCTCTCTGACTCCACCTCCTTTCTCCCAGCATTCCATTTAGTTTTCCCTACCTAGCTCTGTTCCCCTATAGGTTGCTATAGGCAGGCCCAAAGCAGTTCCTTTATTAACCAATGATATTCACAGCATACAGAGGGAAATCCCACATCACACAGCCCAACTTTCCAGGAGTTTGTGGTGGAGAAAGAGGATGGGGAAGCTACTTTATGGGTACACAGAGTCTGTGGGGGTACTGAGAAGGTTCTAGAAATGGAGAGGGGATAGCAGCTGTCCAGAGTTGTGGATAGACTTAAGGCTGATGTACTGAATATTTTAAAATGATCAGAATGTTTGGTACCCACATCTGGTATCTCTAGCATCTCCAAGATGAGAAGAAGCCACAGCACAGTCTAAAGTATCTGAGAAGAGAGCCCTCACTTGACAAAGTGATTCCTCATGTGCAGTGCTGGTTCTAAAGGTTCTCAGAGGCACCAGCCATGTGTGGTGTGGAGTAAGGACAGCCTGGCTGAGACACATAGATCATGCTTTCTCTGAATTCCCCAAACTCAGGCCAACTTGAACATTTTCAGAAACTCGTCCTACTTTATGCCAAGGTGGCCAGAAGGCATCACCTCTGAAATCCAAACTGGCTAAGTTGTGTGGGCTGTTGTGTTCCGTGGTTGCTATGGCAACAGTCACCACAGTGCTTTGGAGACACTAGAAGGAGCCCTTAGAGTGCACAGTGAGTGTTGACTTGGCTTCCAATCTCTTCAGCTCTCTGCGTGATGACTCATTTGCTCACACTAGAAATAAGCACACAGCCAGAAAGGTTTGGCTGATAAACAGTCTCCTAATGGCCTTCCGTGTACCCTTTCCCTCCAAACTTGTGGTAAAAACACAGAAAACAAGGGTCCACATAAGTCTTGGGTATCTCCAGTTTCCTCTCCTGCCAGCAGAGGCTTCCTAGATCCAAAACATCGCAACTCGGTCTTCCTCGTGTTTGTGGACTGTGTTGTGGAGTCATTTCTTCTGTGTCTCTGGCTCCTTGGTGCTTTATCAAGAAGCTGTCTCCTTTCAATACTTCTGCACATCATCTCCTTCAGTGGTCAAAATACGCCCTGTGTGTCTGCTACTCACTCCTGTGAGTGTGTTCTGAGGAGTACAGCCCTTCTCTAGTGGTCAAAATACAGTCTTTGTGTGTGCTGCTCACTCCTGTGAATGTGTTCTGAAGAGTACAACCCTTTGTCCTTGCCAAAGCCAAGTACACCCTTGACTCTGGGGTCCTCACTAGGTTCCTTTCCAGTTCCACCAGTCAGCAGGAGCTTCCAGGGCATTGCCTCACTGTCTTCCGACACTGGGAGTGTCCCCTAGGTTGGGGGCTCTGGATGAGGTTAGCACATGTCCACAACCACACAGGAACATTTAGGGGTCATCACCTTGGACCCCCTGTTTTCCTAAGCTTCCCTGAATGAACGTTCAAGGATTGGCCTGAGTTCAGTTTCAACAGGTTTGGAGAGCTGCAGACTTCATCTCCAGGATCAGAAATGGGTCCCTTCTGTGCTGTCCAGCAGGGCCACAAACGTGAGGGCTGTCCTTAGCCTCCATTAGCCTCTTGTCTGTGTAAATGAAGTACTAACTCTCAGAATGCCCCTGGGAGTGCAGTTTCCAAGGGTTAAAGTTACCTTTGAAGCCAGCCTGGATGTCTAAGTCCCCATAGTTCACCCCCAGCACTGCGTAAATGAATATGGTGGCAAACGCCTGTGATCTCAGCCTTTAAGAGATGGGCCCGAGGCTCAGGAGCCGCAAGGTCATCCTTGGTGACATAGTTCAAGCCAGCCCGGGCTACTAAAGCCCCTGTCTCAAACAAAAAGGATAGAAGTTTAAAGGGGGGGAGTAAAAAATTTATCACTTGCCCTCTCCCATAATGGGAACCCTATGGAACCCCAATATCCAGGGCTTTTGTAAGAAGTTGAGTTTTCCTCCTTTTAAAAAGGATGAATAAGAGAAAAAGCACAATTCCTGCAGAGAGTAAATTACACAACACTCTTATCTAAAGCTTTCACATGTTGGACGACGTGGTAACGGAACAGAGAGCACAAAGGATGTTTTTTCTGAACCAGTTTTTTACTTAAACAGACATGGATTTTACTTAAACAAAAATAAATTCTGGTTTCTTTGGGGTTTTATTCGTAATCTTTACATGATCTCTCAGTGTGAAAAAGTCTGAACGGTTGACTCAAACCAACAAACTTATAAGCACATTAAAGATTTGGAAGAAACATGTTGAATTCAGTGCATCCACCCCTGATATCCCGATTTCGTCTCCTTTTGCTTTTAGTGACATTGTGTTTTTTTTTTTGTAATTTTATACCAAGTGTGTACAGACTTCATAAACAGCTCACACACCATTGCACCAAAGCCCTCGTCATTTATTTCCATTCATTTATGGGATAACTAAATGAGTTGTTTTTTGTTGCAAATGATGCTTCAAGAAACATTGGTGTGTAGATGATTTTTTCTTTGGGCCACCAGATTACAAAAAAAACAACATAGAGATTTATTATTAATTATGAAAGTTCAACCTATAGCTTTGGCTTCTCCGACTGGCTCTTATAACTTAAACCAACCCATTTCTATTCATTTCTATTAATCTTCGTTTTGCCTTGTGGCTTTTTATCTCTCTCCCATCTTGCACCTCCTGTTTCCTCTGTGTCCTCTAGTGTCTCTCCCATGCCTAGATTCTTCTTCTTCTCTCTCTACCCAGAAGTCTTGCCTAACATCTTCCTGTCTCGCTATTGGCCATTCAGATCTTTATTAAACCAATCCAAAGGCACCTTGGCAAAAACACATCTTTACAGTGTACAAAATGATTATTTCACAACATTGTTGGATCCTTTTATCTGTTCTAGCTTTATGTCTGTTGCTGTGAATAATAAAAATAGGAAATAAAAAATAACTTTAAAACCTGACAAAAAGCAAGTTGTGGAAAAAAGTTTACTTCAGTTTATAATTCTAGGTTATAGCTCATCGTTGAGAGGAAGCCACAGCGTGGGGACCAGCCACATGACATCCAGTCTAGAACAGAGAGAAACAGATTCACGCATGCTGCTTGTT